TATATGCTAAAAAGAACTGAAAGCAGGAATGCAAACAGATACTTGTACATCAGCGTTAACTGCAACACTATTCACAACAGTCCAAAGGAGAAATGATCTAAACGTTATCAACAGATAAATGAATAAATAAAACGTGGAATATATAAACAATGGAATATTATTCAGCCACAAAGAGCAATGAAGTCCTGATACATGCTACCACAGGGTTGAAACTTGAAAACATTATGCTAAGTGAAATAAGTCGATGAAGAGCAAATATTGTATGATCCCACTTATATGAACTACCCAGCATTGACAAACGTATTGAGAACGGTTTTTTAGTAGTTACCAGGCACATGAGGGGAGGCACAAAGGGGGAGCCACTGCCTAGGGGGCACTGGGTTTCTGTTAGGGTGATGGCTAAATTTGAAAACAAATAGCGATGATGGTTGCACAATCTGATGAATGTAATTAGTATCATCAAATTGTATGTGCAAAACTGCTGACATGGCAAATGTCTTGTTATATATATTTGTAGTGCAATAGAAAATGGATCAAAGACCTAAATGTAAGAGTTAAAACGATAAAACTCTTAGAAGCAAGCATATACTTAAATATGCATGACCTTGGATTTGTCAATGGATTGGTAGATAGGACACCAAAAGCGTAACAAGAGAAAAAATAGATAATTTGGACTTTACCAAAATTAAAAAATGTATGCTTCAAAGTTCACTACCAAAAAAGTAAGGAAACAACCCACTGAATGGGAGAAAATATTTGCAGAAAATATTTGTCATATATTTAACAAGATACTTGTATCTAGAGTATATAAAGAACTCTTACAGCTCAAGGTTTTTTAGAGAGCAGGAAAAGTATATATAGGTAAGGAACTCAGATCTACATAAAGAAAGAAGACTATCAGCAAAGGAATACATGAAGGTAAAATAAACTTTTTATTTTTCATATTCTTAATTGATCTAATAGATGACAGTTTGTCTAAAATAACAACAACGTATTGGGTTATCATAGCATATAGATAAGTGAAATGAAGATCAGCACTGCTATAAAGGATGGAAAGAAGGAATGAGAATACGCTGTTATATGTTACCCGTGCTAACTCCAAAGTAGTAGAGTTTTATTTGAAAGTGGACTTATATTAGTTGTAAATGTATATTGCAGGCCCCAGGGCAACCACCGAAACAGATTTAAAAAGAAATACAATTAATGTGCTAAGAGAGGAGAAGGGGTGGATTCACATAAAGCATGAATAAAATCAGAAAATGTAGAAACAGAGGGTCAGATTGACAAAACAAAAAGATGAAGAAACACAGAATAAGTGCAATAAATAGGAAACAGTTACTAACACAGCAGAGACTAGTCAAACTATATCAATGATCACTTTAAATGCGAATGGTCCAAGTGTTGCTGACGATACAGAGACACTGGATGTCCCAGATATTGCTGGTCAGAATGTAAAATGGCCTAATCTTGTTGGAAAATAGTTTGGTACATCAAGGAGACATAACAACATCTCTCCACCCAAAGATTTGCACCCATATATTCTTGAAAGAATTATTTATAAGAGTCAAACACTAGACACAAGCTATGGGGCCCTGGTGGCACAACGATTAAGCACTTGGCTGCTAATTCAAGAAGTTGGAGGTTCAGACCCACCCAGTGTCTCCAGGGGAGAAAGACCCGACAATCTTCTCCTGTAAAGATTACAGCCTAGAAAACCCTCCGGGGCAATTCTCTTCTGTCACGTGGGGTTGCTACGAGTTGAAATTGACTGGACTGCACCTAACAACAACAAGAAGAAATTATCTGTATGTCTATCAACTGATCAATAGATGAACGAGTTGCAATCTTTCAAGAGAATGGAACACTACTCGGCCATTAAAGGAACAAACTACTGAGACACACGAAATGAAAGCAGCCAGACACGAACTGTTAATTATTGTATGATCTTATTTACATAAAATTTCTAGATAAGGTAAAATTGCAGCATCAAAAAAACTATTGGTTGCTGGAGGTTAGAAGTGGGAGTGGGAATTGACTAAAAATGGGCACAAGGAAACTTTTTTTGGAATGATAGAAGTATTCTACAACTGGATTACAATGATGTTTGCACAACTAAAAATTTATGAAAATCCATCAAATTGTACACTTAAAATGGATGCATTTATGATATGTAAAGTCTATCGCAGTGAAGCTGTTTTTTAAAAAGAGCTGTAAGAGGCTCTGATAACAGAGATTAAGGAAAACATGAATGATGAAAAGATGGATAAATTACCAAAGATAAACAGAAGTGAGAACAGTGTCAAGAAGACTTAAACACACATGAGCTATGGCTGGTTAAAAGCAAATTTTACATACATATGTATCTGTATCTGTATCTGAATCTGTGTGTATATATGTGTCCACTGTTTTTTTTTTTAAGTTAAGTTTTAGCCAGCAGCTTAGGGCAACCTGGAAAGTCATTCAGTAGGACAGCATAAAGACACCAGAACTATTTAATTTCTATTTTGTTTAGTCTCTCCTATCAAGGAAAACAGCTGTCATTCTGGAAAACATGAAACAAATATTGATAAGAAAGAAAGAAATCCCATGAATAAGTGAGCCTATCATAAGAAACTGTCTAACTGCTTTATTTGAATTCAAGTTTCCTGGACTCTGGAAATTACATCCTAGAATTCCCAACCCCACTCCTGCCCCACTGGCCTCACCCCCCAAAAAAATCACAGATGATATTGCTAAACTATAGTCAGTGGCCTCTACAGAAGGGCAAATGATAATAATAGTTATAATTCCATGGTTCCAAAATTGTGTGGAGGGGCGCCATGAGACATTGTAAATTTTCAAGGAAAACATAGCTCCTTGACATCTGTTGGGAAAAACGTAAAATACTAGCCTGAGGTGGTTCACAGTTTCAACAACAGATAGCACTCCTTTCCTTGCAATGACATCACATCTTTGTGAAGCTGTGTTTTTCAACTGTTGCTACAATAAAAAAGCAAGTATGATGTGAAAACCAAGGTGGAAAGGCAAATAAGGCTGGTCCTTTGAGGAGCAGCCCCAAGGTGGGCACTTCCTGCTGCCCTCGTTCACTCTCTTATATTATCAGTAGGTCCATCACTCTTGCTGACTATACGTTCAGCACTCTGAAGTCAGAAATTCTGTTTAGTTTTTTGTAACGAATTACTTCTGCTGATGCTGAACTTTTAATTTTTCACTCAGTGTGTTATAAATGTTTATAAACACACACCTAAACCAGCAGCAGCAACAACTACAAAAATCAGCTGAAAGAATGTGTTCGATACTAAAGATCACTATTTTTAAGGGATAGAAGATCAAAAGTAACATATCCAGGAAAGAAGAGCTAGAAATGCAAAACGTTTTAAAATTATGACAAATCAGAAGAATTTGGAAAGACCGCAAATGATTAGCCCAGAGAAGGAAACACTTAATATAAAAGTAAACATCACCCACTACCGAGAAATGTAGGCCAGGTTTCAAGAGACCAGACTATCCAGCTTTGCCTGGGGCATAATTCCTACACTGTGTCTCATGTGTAAGAATAGGTAGCAAAAATTAGAGCAGATGGGAATATTTCCACGCGAAATTAGTGGTAGCACCAACCAAGAGTAGCTAAAATTAGGTATGTGGTATGTAATGCTGCCACAATTCTGTTATAAATGATGGCCTACGACTCACATTCAAATGGAATATGCTAGAATTTATGTTGCATACCAATCAATCCATTATATAGCTAATCAATGAGTGACAAATATTAATTAAATGCCCAACAAAATACAAATTTGGGTTTAGGTTGTATTTACACCCAAAGGCAATTACGATATTCCTTTTCCCAAGAGAAGCATACGTCTTAGAGTTTTCCTTTGTAGATGGCGTATACTAAAATCCAGAGGGATTGATAAAACACACAATACTGAAGAAAGACTACACACCAGTACAGAATCAGAATACGTCATGCTAATCATTCACTACACCCTGCCTTCCATTACCTCAAAATCAAGTATAATTGCTGTGGAGACAATATTCTGTTACTAATTTTTCTCTCTGCCTTAAAGGTACAAAGCACAGTTCCAGGCATGCTGGTGTTTGATAACATGTCTTGACTTGTGGCATTTCCTAGTGTTGGGACTCAGGACAGTCTCAGGGCACCCCAAGGAGAATGCGTGTTGCATGATGTACTGTAAAGGGGTCCTTATCACATGTTCCACAGTAGGCATTGCTTAGGATTTCTGGAAAAGTTAAGGATATACAATCTTGATGTAAATATAAGAAATCTTAAATATGTTATGAAATGGTAGGAATGCAGGTGATCTCGAGTGGTCAATTTAAGGCATTGGAGGACGGTGTTGAGATGATATCGTGAAAAGATAGCAATATATCATTTTTGGCTTCAAGAAATTTAAAATATTAATGTGAAACATGTTTAAACAACTAATACAACTTAAAGCAGAAGGAAATGAATATCAAATATTGGAAAAAGTAATATGCTGAGATAAATAATGATAATAATAATAGCTACAATAACAATAACAAAGAGTAGCAGAGTGCCCATATAATTTGGGGGATGGTGAGGATACACAAAGTCATAAAAAATAAGAACAAATCTACCATTTGTCACAGAAAATTGACTGAAAATGTTCCTGTGTGGTAGAGTAACGACTATCTCGGTTTGTCCGGGATTGTCCTGTTTTGGGCACTAAAGTCCCATGTCCCAGGAAAGTCAGGAATTTGGTTACCCTGCTGGTGATTTCATTCCAACAAATCTTTGTAACTTTCCCACTATTAAATATAATCATGTTTTCCGTGATCTAATCAAGGAAAGAACACAAATTTCATTTAGTACATATGCATTTTTAATTTCTCACCTAAACTTCCTACATTGTGCATAAGCCTTTCTGATGGGTTCTAAGTGGAGACAGAAAACAAGATACTCCTTCCTGTATGATGCTGCTTCACATGCCAACCCTGGGCCAGAGTTCACTTACTTTTGCTGCAGCCCAACAGATTGTTGACATCCAAATGGCTTGCACCAGGAACACACGTATCACATTTTGAGCCAGTGACAAATCGTTTACAGAAACACTGGCCTGTGACCGAGTGACAGGTTTCATTCAAGGCTCCTGAGAGATGACAACTGCAAGGCTGGCATCTAAAAACAAGACAAATACACCATCAAAGAGACTAGCATGTTGATTAATAATTCATAGCATAAGCTATACCTGTCGATAATATTGCGGAGTACGGTGGTCCTGTTTTACCCAATATATCTAAAAAGATGCTCAAGCTAAACAAACACACACAAAATAAAATAAAACAGAAAAAAGTCTTTATTGAAACTCTGCTCAGGGTAAAACCGTATGGGGTCTTCTGTTTGTAAACTAAGAAATGGCGAAAAGTAATTGTATTAATTATTTTGGATACCTGTTGTTCCATTAAAAACACTGTAAATTTTACTTCTTGCAAAAGCAACCTCCTGTCAGCTCAAAATTTAGATTAGGTACTCATAAAATGATCTTTTCAAGAAACGATTCAGTTGTGAAATACAAAACTGGGGATGGTAACCATTGTTTTCACTGAGAAATCTTGAAATTCTGTAGTTTCGTTTTGTAAAGGCTAAGTTTTACTAAGAAGATAATATAAAGTTGAGGACGACTTGTTCTGACTTAAAGCTGCCTACAAAAATCTCCATCCTGGCATTTTCCCGTGGTAGAAACTGAAACCTGTTTCCTCCGAGTGAATTATTCAAACCCTTAGCCTGTGCCGACGGCATTGATTACGACAAGCAGGTTTGGCACTGTAACGCATTACAGAAGCAAAATCAGCACATGTAAGAGGACCAATCACCTTTAAATGCGGGCCCTCTGTGTGGTACATTTTAAGCAACATTAAATGGATTCACCTAGAGTTTCTAATAAAGATGCTGGATGGCTAGAGTTACTTTACCCCACTGCAACTTTTACTGTGTGATCTCTTGGGTAAACATTCGACACCCTGAAAAAGGCCGATAAAAGCTAAGGCTGCCAAATAAGCTGCGAAATTGTTTTATGGACTAACATCCCCTTGGGAATAAATAAAGTACAGTTTCTTTTGAAAACCACTGTACTGTAGTTTGCCCTTTTTATGGTCATGATAAAAGGACATTTCCCCCACAAACAACTATGTTCAATCCTCCATCCATAGACATTGCATCAGAACTCCATTTCAAATACATATTTGGTTTAGGCAAAATATTTGATCTGCTCTTCATTTCATTATATGTTATTACTCAGAGCATATTGTTTGTAAGTTTTTAATGTAATATTGGTGAACACAAACAGTAAGAGACAAGCGTCTTCCAATGCATATACATGTATGTATTTCTAACTGCACCACTCATGAATGAGTGTCTCTTGAATATTTCAGTTTGTATTACCGTTCACTCATGAGACAATCACACTTATTTTACATACAGCACATTTAGAGTAAGAGTTTCCAGTGTAGAACAATTCCTTTCTTCATGTAGTTCTATTATCTTCCAACCAACTGCTGCACACAAAACTCTAAGTCCGTAACGACCCTATAGGACAGAGTAGAACTGCCCCATTTAGTTTCCAAGGAGCAACTGGTGGATTTGAACTGCTAACCTTTTGGTTAGCAGCCAAGCTCTTACCACTGAGCCACCAGGGCTCCAGTAGTTTCCAGTGTATAACATAATTCCTTCCTTGATGTAGTTCTATTTTCTTCCAGTCAACTGCTACATACGAAACTCTAAGTCAGCTCTGTCAACACCCATAGGATCTTAAATTCTGAATCCAAATGGGATAAATAAATAATTTCTTAGGATAAACATACCATGTTCTTAGTAATTAAATGTGACTAATCCTGATTTTAGGAAACCCTTGGAAACTCTGTGCAAAGGGTCACTACCAGGCTAAAGCAACTTGTAGGCAATGGATTTCTGATTTTATTGTCTCTTATCCAGCCTTTATTATAGCCAACTTATCTGACTTGTTATAATTGCTTGACCTCAGTAAGAGAGCATTTTGCCTAAATGAAGTTCATAGGAGGAGACTTTTCAGAATAATGTAGTTTGTTTCCACCCCAAAGGACACTGGGGATAATTTTGCAATTAAAGTTTAAGTCAAATTATTCCTGTAAATTTCTCAGCCACTCAAATGTAATTTTAAACATTTTCCAAGACTCTTTAGCAAATAAGCTACACATTTGATATCATTCTCTAAGTGATCACTCCTCAAGAGCACCTGCTAAATGAAATCTATTTGACGTTTATTAAAACAAAATTATACATAATAAAGGAAAAGGCATTTTAAGCATAGAAAGACTAAGATGGATTGTGATATTGATTTTGCCACGATAAATGGTTTTTGTAATATTAATATAAAGAAACCTTTATTACGCTGACTCTCCAGGTACAGCCATAGCCTCTTCTGCAATCTCTTTAAAATCTTCATTTTTCATCCTTATGGGAAAACCTCACTTGCTAAATGGATTTCATAAAGAGTAATCTGTCAAGATTTATATAGATAAACAATTCGTGATGTTTATTGACCAGTTCATTATGGCAAACAAAACAGAAGTAGAGCATTGCTAATGTCTGCCAGCACTCTGCGATATACTTCTGTTGCGGCCCTTATATAATTCAGTGTTTACTGGATGCAATGGGAAAGAAGTTAATTGGCCTCTGTCTTTTAAATCACAAATCTCATATAGTTTCCTTTCCAGGGAATTTCTTCCAGTGGTACAAACAGTAAGAGAAAGAGTTACCCGATTTAGTATTCTTGCGGAAACACCACTATCAGTGAAGGAAATATGTTTCAACAATGTATTTCGTTGTCAGAAACTTCATCATCTGAGGGAGAGATACTGTAGGAGGTCCAGGGATATGTTCCAGGATGTAGATCACTTTATTGGCATTTCTGTTTGGACCCCTCTTCTGTCTAGGGCCTCAAATCACAGGTACCATCAAATTGGTTTAAATATTGATTGAGATAAATAACATTCATTGAGAACCAATTATGTGTCAAGACTGGAATCAGCACCAAAGACATAAAGATGAATATGACCGAGTTGTCCCTGTCCTCAAGGAGCTTACCAACTAGCATGAAAGAAAATCGTATAAGCCGATCATTAAAATGCTGTATAAGAGGAGCACTTATAAAGATGTAGCAGAGTATATGGGGGCACAGAAAAAGGGCAACTACATAGTCTCGTGGCAGGGGAGGGGATGCAGAAAGGAGTACACGGAAAGAATTCTTGGAGGTGATGCTTGAGCTGAATATTAAAAGATGAGTAGGAAGAAGGCAGGCAAATCAGGGAGGAGAGTGAGCAAACAACACGACAGTGTGTGAAACCACAAGGAGTTATGAATTTCTGGATGCAAATTTCAGAATGGGGAGTGGTGACAGATCAAGCTGGAGAGGTGAGCGGCGGTAAGACATTTTAAGACCTAATACACATTGTCCAGAGCTTGAACTTTATATGATATTCACAATGAAGAGGCACATAAAGGGTTTTACACTGGCAAATAGCACTGGCTTAGTATTTATATGGATGGAACTAAGGCGCACATGGCTCAGGACAGTGAGATCAAGTAGCTCTTGTGGTAGCAGTCCTTCTAAGGAGATGATAAGGCACCAAATTAGGGCAGTGGTAAGGAGTGATGAAAAGAAGGGAAACAGATTTATGAAATGGTTAGTAAATAAAATTAGTAGGATGTGGTGACATATTGAGAAGGGAAGAGAAGAAGGACGTGGGGTTACTCCCAGTTTTCTAACATGGTGACTGGTAGATGATGGTGACACTATTCAACATGAAGAACGATGGAGGAAGAGATCTCAGACTGTTGAGGGGTTTCAGACGAGTATTATTAATGATCATTGATGAACAGAAGAGAAAAGTGGCTTCAAGGCAAATTGAAGAAATTGGACAAAGCATTTTCTTCCATGTGCTACTAGCAGAAATGTGAGCACACATAAAGGGTTCACTAAATGTTACTGAACAAATGAGTGAGCAAAGCACTGGAAAGGATCAGTTAGAAAAGGATGCCATATATTAATCCAAGTGTGAAGTGTACTTCTACTGACAACTTAGCTCCTTTGAGCCCTTTTGGATTGGTGTAACAGTGTCCCCTGGCCAACCTCGCCCCCAAGGAATCGACAGCTTTGTCTTGAATGGCTGGCCTTCTGCTCTGACTCTCTGTGACCAGGAGAGTTTTAAGTCCACTGTCTGGTGCAAGATTCAGTGAGAGCCAGAGTGCTCTCTGGAGAAGTTTGGTTTCCCCCTGGCTAAGATTACATTTCACCTGTACAATGGAGGGCTGTCTCACTGTGGTTCTTAGTTTTCCATTCCTCATAGCCTACTAAAAGCATCTGGATTCTTTTGGAACTGGTATCAGAATTATAAGAGAGAGATTTGGGTGTTGGGCATTGTTAATTCCTTCCTTCCAGACGAGGCAATGCCAGTCTTATTTCCTCTCCCACAAGTCATGAGAGCGGTCTTTCAGCTCACACAAAGAGAAGGCTCCGTCTTCTGGGTGAAGCTTTCCAACACACTAATATGGAGACTCATAAAAGCTGGACCTGGGGTGTCACTTACCTGCATCCAGGCAATAGTGACATCCGAGGCCAGGGAGGGACATTCCTGTCATCTAGCGAAGAGCTTGCTTAACATGGTCCTGTATGTGAGAGCCCTACCTCTTCTTCCTTTATGGACATCCCATCTAATCACAGGGAGTATAGAATATGTGCCACATTTTACTCACCATGACCAAATACTTAAAAGAAATAAGAATCCCCAAAGAGTCACTGTATTAACAGTATCACACATGTTTAGATCTAGATGAAGTCCTTTCCTTAACCCCTGCATTATATTAACATAATACTTTGAGATATGATAGAAGATTCAAACTTTTAAAGTTCCCTCAGGTATAAGAGAGACTACACTCTTCCCTGTGATTCCAGAGGAAGAAAAAAGGCTAGACAAGCAAGTTACAGGAATGAAACTTTTTGCTAAATATGAAGAATATATTACTATCTTTCTCAGAATTAGAGTTGTTTGAAATAAGCATGAGTTGCTCATGAGACGGTGAGCTCTTTTTTAGTTCAGTGTTTTCAAGAAGAATCTGAATGACTATTTGCCATTTATTCTGAA